CGCCCGCGAGCGCTGACGAACTATTGTGGACAGGCCGTCGTGTTGACGAGAGGCGGGAGCGCATCACAATGGTCGGCAACGGGCGTTCGACTGGATGGAATTTCACTCCGACGAAATTTAATTTCTTCGCGAGCTCGTGTCCGAGGAAACGCGATAGAGCGTCTCGCAAGGATTGGATATCCAACCTTGGCGTCAGCGTCGGCTATGGCGGTGGAGCGTAGGGAGCCGGATGACGGGAGACCGGCGGCGGCAGCGGCGGCGGCGGCGGATGCCGCGGCGGGGGAGAGACGATCGTGAGATGCCGTGAGAATCAGACTGCGGGGGGTTGGCGCGGACTTAGCGGGTAGAAGTGAGACGCGGGAACGCCCGTACGAACGGACGTGGCCTTTTTCCGTTGAAAGAGCGAAAAATGAGGATTCCGTGCGCGGAGGCGGAGTTATTGAATATCAAAGTTTCGAAATTTCGCGGTGCCAGCAAAGTTCACTCGAAAACATAACTTATAAGTAACTTCGACTCCGGGGCGGGGTGGGGTGCGACCGGCTACGGGGTATGAGGATAGGGAGACGACGACGGGTCACCCGACTAAGGGTGAAAAAGCAGAAGGGCGGAAGTCTGGAGTCGGGCTGGAAATGGCGGGAGTGGAGTCACGCTCGTGCACGGAGGGAGGGGGCGGGGGAGGAAGGCGGAGAGCTGCCGTGGGGTGGCGGACGCGGGTGGAACACGAGGCCGGGATCATTCGTCTCCCTGAGCCGGAAGTTAGGCTGAGCCCCGACTCGAGGACGAAGTTTGGTCAGAGTCCAAGTCGCTAAAAGGAAGAAAATTTCAGAAAATACTGAGGAGACGCGTGTACGTCGCGAGCCATTGGAGAAATTTAGCGCGGCCGGTATAGCGTTGCGGCTGGCCTCGCAAACTCGCGAAACTCTTTTAAACGAACTAACGTCGGCAACATCGCCCACGGAATGTTCTCCACAGGGACAAGGAGAACTCCCCGAGCGTGAACACGGGCTCTAAGATAAAGAGAGAAGGAGAGAGAGAGAGGGACAGAGAGAGAGAGAGAGAGAGGGCGGAAGGAGGGAGAGGATAAAAGTCGGGGATAGAAGGATGTCGTACAGGATGGGCTTGCATTGCACTACCGCAATACCGGGCGCCACCAAGAAAATGCTCTCCCGGCGGCAGGAAGAAATCCCGCGAAGATGCGTGGCTTCTCCAGACGCGGTTTTAATGGCACCGGAAAGTCGGTCTTTGTGATATAAGGTACACGTAAGCGTCCCGCTTAACCCCGACCACGCGCGGACCATGTAATTTCGTTCGGCTCTTAAATGGCTTTATAAAAAGACAAGTACAGAAGAGGTAGAGAAAAATCACAAGATCGCCAACGACGTTTGGGCTTATTTTCGCGCGTGTTTCGGTATACATATTTGCAAAATCGCTCCGCGTCCAGAGAAACGACGAGGGAACGGTTTTAATTGGGACACGGGCATGATGTGAAGGAAAAAAGGTATCTCCCCTAAAAACGCTGTCCCTGATGCACCTCTCTGTATCGATATGCGTCTCTTGTTGTTTAACGCTGATGTTACGTAATGTCTAAATATTTTATACGATATTACACGAGTGTAATAACAAAAATGCAGGCAAAAATGCAGCAACGATACCGCGGTATAATTTCTTGCATTGTTATGTCGGAATTATATCTGCCGGTTGCTCGTTATTTTTACATTATGAAAGCAAAGTTGCACGCGAGGGCGCACGCACGCGCGCGCGTTCCTGCCTCTCAATCCGTAGAAATAAAATACGCGGATTATACAAATACACCGTGCGATATTTTCCATTTATTCGTACTTAAATAATTCCGACGCAAAACGAAGTCGGGACAATGCGCGTAGCACGATACATTCCGAAACTTCCGCGATTTCACGGTCTTTTCTAATATTCTCGTGTCTCCTCTCGTCCTCCCCTTTCTCTCTTTCTACAAATTCTCAAACCGCAACCTTACAAGCAGGCCGACGGGCGCGGCGGCAAGATTGAGGATAATTTTGAGAAGGAAGGCTGAGAGGCGCAAAGCTACCGTTATCTTTATTGGTCGACAATCCGTTCTCGCCCCGTATAATAAAAGTAAGCTTTCAGCCGAGTGTTTCCGCACAAAATTCGATCGCTTTTATTCCTATGGTAATGCGGTGGAGGACAGTTTTCTGGACCATTACAGTCGCAATCCGCGCGCCCTTAAACCGTACCTTCGCACGTACTGTACGCGGAAGTTCGAGAGGACGTCGTCGCTATACACACGAAGTGTGCAGCAGCCGCGTCGACTTTGCAAGTAGAAACTGAACGTCACTAGTCGGACATTAGCACCCGCTTGTTAGCGCGCGAGTGTCGCCCGTAAGATACTTGAACGATCCACCCTCACATCAATCGCATAATAATTATATCCTTTTGACGAAAATACCGCGGACGAACAGCATCGCCTCCTTTCCCACCGTTCTGCTTCGCTCACTGTGTCTGCGCTACGCGCAAATCACATTTTTATCGCGCGGCCGGAGCTACAAAGTAGCGTGGTGACTTTTAACGACGCTTTCACGAGAAATGCCGCTGGGGGGCTACCACGTTCGCCAAGTCGCGCGTCCGTGCGTGTTGGTTCGTCGCGCACCGTCGGAATATCGTTCGCACGGATTGACATATACACACCGAGCGCGCACGCTCGGATGACACGGGCGATGGCGCGAGCCCCTGTATTTACCTTTCATCGCGTTTGCCGGCCGATATTCATTTCAAGCGTAACTGCCCCGGCCTATCGTTATTTCGGAAGAGTCCAGGTTGCGGGCGTTCGCGTCGACAAACGGACACGGGCAGTAATACCGTATAGTGACGGCGTTGGCGGCAGCGGCGGCAGCGGCGGCGGCGGCGGCGGTGAATCCGCGCCGCACCGACCCGTTGCTTTCGGCCGGTAGTCATAAATTGAATACTAATTGACACATGCGAGGCGTGCCCGTTGTATTTCACGCGTTCAACTTTCATCGCGCCGGCCACTGTGTTTAAATGGCGGCATATATGCGCGAAGATATAAATTTGCGGATAAATACGCACGACAGCCGGTTAATGCGAGCCGAGTCCCACCCTGACTCCTCCGCGCCCTCAGCCCTCGCACCAGCCCAGTCGTGCGCCATCTGAATCAATACCTACTTGTTTACTGGACCGCTGCCAACGGGATTTCACCGAACCGGCGATCGTACCATCCTAATTAATTCCATCTTTTGTTGCGGCACCCGATGTCTCGTAATACGAACGATTGCTTAAGACGGGAGAACAGAGTGGCCTCGTCAGAAGTCTGGAGACTTCCGTCAGGAGCGACTAATTATTAAGGAAATTCCACTTCCTGTCTCGCTCTCCCGATTTCTCTCTCTCTCTCTCTCTCTCTCTCTCTCTCTCTCTCTCTCTCTCTCTCTCTCTCTCTCTCTCTTTCTCTCTCAGCCTGGCTCGCCGCCTACCGATTTGACTTGCTCCGTTGCAGCTGCCCGGAGTTTAGAAGTGATAGACTCAACGACTTCGCAAGGATCGACAGGCAGGCTCTCAAACCCTCTAGTTCGATCGGGACCGACCGATAATAATTCAATTAATCCGGCAGACGCGCGCGGGCGCGCGCAAGATTCACGAAAACGTTGGACGTGTGAGTGCGGAAAGGATGTTGATACGTCGCGGTGATGTCATCATCAGATTGCGGGACTCGTCACGAAACGCGATACAATGTGTAGTGTGAATTATAGCCAGATAAGTCTCGCTTTATCCCTTAGCATTATCGATGAGATTTATGCGTCCAGGTAGAGTATTGTCCCATGGTAATTGGTAGATCTTCCATAGAATTAGACATATTAAATTACGAGGGTCATTAAATGTGCCGGTCAGATTTATTGCCGTTGTAGAGTGGGAGGGGGAGGGGGATGTGAGCATATTATACCCTATTACCACAGATAAAGGGGGGTCGAAAGCAGACGCCTATATTTCACAGTGATACTTACGGGGCTTTCTTTGGTGAAAAAATAAAAGGAAAGAAATCTTTCCGTAGTGAATGGCCACTTTCTCCTGCATAGTAATCACGTTTTGAGAAATCTTCTTTAAAATATAGATATATATATATGTATATGTATATACATATATATGTGTATATACATATGTGTATACATACATACACACATATATATATATATATATATAAATACACACATACATATCTGCGAGGAATCGTTTGACGCATTTCGTGGGAATTTAATTACTCGTGACTTACGTAATGAAATGCTTTAACCAACTTTACACACGCTATAATAGCGAAAAAGATAACAATGAAGGTATTACACTTGTCCGGTGAATAAAACGTCTATAATAAACGATCGACGTACAGTTAACGGTTACTATGGTGACGGGTATCTTATTAATCTTGTTAATAAAATGTTTTGCATTATACGGCGACCATTACGTCGTATGGATGAGAAATCATGAAATCGCGTTTGAAGTGGATGAAAATATGTTGCAGCAATATAAAACGAAATATATTAATATACGAAATATATTAATAGCCCGACTTACATATATGTGTACGTCACTCTTTACGTTTAGAGTAAACAATGCCCACCACACTCGTTACCGTTTTTCTGTCTCGATGTAGAATTAAAGAGGAATATCGTGCAATAGATCGCGATGACTGTGTATTTTTATATATGATACTGTGTCAGAGAACAGTAAATTATGCAAGCTCTCAAATTTATCGGACGCAGCGTTAAGAGCTTATACCTTTCATACTCGAAAAACTGTACACAGATACACAGATACTCAATTATTTCAAAACGTAAAGCTACGGAGATATAAAAAAGATACACGTGAGAAATATGCACTGTGAGAAAAAGAAAGAAATATAGAAACGAGAATAGAATAAAGTAGAATAGAATAGAATATAGCTTATCTAATAGAAATATAATCTCAATCAAATAAACTCGATATCCTTTTCTTTTCAGGGGGAAGCAAAGCGCGTGAGCATCACGAGGCGTTTCTTGACAGATAAAGATGATGGTGGAGGTGAAGAGATTACGGAAATTGCACGTCATTTAGCGCTGTCACATCATTAATATCGCGATTCATCCGCGTTCGAACTGTCGTAGGTGAAACAGACGTTATCTATCACTTGCCACTTTAATGTATCGGTTTTTAATCATACCCGTACTCACACCGATTACTCCTTCTTGATAATCGAATGCTATTCGTAATCAGCTGGATGCTTGCTTGATGTACGAGGTATACATTATCGACTCATTTATTATCAATAAATTATGTTCATAAGTACGTAATCTTATTACTGTGTGTAACTGTGAATGGGATTACCGGTTATGACTTTCCTTGAAATTTACTTAGTAATACCGTATAATATAATTAGTAATACGGTACGTGATTTATACTTAATCAGAAATTATAACACACGCGAGATATAGAGAACACAGACGACGTTACTGACAATTTAACGTGAAACATGGGTAAATAGTATCCGGGAATTTCGAATTATAAAATAACGAGGTAAGAGTCGCACAACGCGTGCAACGTGAAAGAGGCACGGGATGTGCTTGAAATTCAAAGCGCCGTCTAGTTTGGCGAGTAAGGGTGAAAAGAGGACGGCTGTGTGTATCGGTTTCTGTTAACGAATGTCGGGGTAATCGAAGCGAGCGCGCAGAATGATGAGTGCATCCGGCGGTTCTAGATTTGTCACACCGCTTTCGCTCTGAAACGGATTATTCGCATCTTTTTCCGTTCTATGCACCCGTCCGCCTCTCTCTCTCTCTCTCTCTCTCTCTCTCTCTCTCTCTCTCTCTCTCTCTCTCTCTCCCTCTCCGGCGTGTACGCGATAGCACGTAGCTGTTCTCGCATCGGTTAATTAAATGGTTCCCCCGGCTCTGGAATCGCGCATCCTTTTGTTCGCAGCACCGAGAAAATTATAAACTGCGGAATATACGCTACGAGTCGGGGGTGGTTCGCCCCGTACCTGACTGTAAAACGTAATATATATACACTTCTTTCTCTCCCTTTCTCTCTCTCTCTCTCTCTCTCTCTCTCTCTCTCTCTTTCTCCCTTCATCTCACCGAAACAAAACAAATCGTGCGGCGCGCCTAGATATTTCCGTAATTCAACTTCAGAAACAGCTGGCGAGTTTCTAGCTCGCGGCAAGGTGCATCCTGATCTTCTCGCGATGTTGAGCTGCCGTGCAACGAAACGCGTCCATTTACGAATGCAATGGCTTATCTACAGTCATACAGGGAACGCGTTCCGTACATGTCGCTTTGTAGCTTTGTGCACGCTCGTGTGGTACATTTATGTAACGGGTTATACGATACTAGAGACAGGAAAAGAGAGAAAGAGAGAGGGAAGCCGGGACCCGAGTCGAAATTTTAGTTCCACGTTAATCCTACAAATTCCGTCAAACTTAAAAGACCAATGAGGAATCTCGAGATGTAAAACTATTGTTTTATTTACTTTGATGCTGTGATTATTTGCAGCCGTCTTTTCCATGCGAGTGTTGAAAGAGGCTTTTTTTTAGAATTGTTTGATATTTATAACAATTATTATTTAATATGCAATTATATTTTAGTATAATTACATTTTTTAATACAATTATTACATTTATACTTAATTTTTCCCGTTAATTTTTTAATGAGCAACATGTTAATCACGTATTTACTTAACTGCAGACAGTGTCATAAGATAATCACCTTTTAAATGATCAATAAAAATTGATAGGTAGGTAATGAGTGAAAAATACAGGGTGCACGATTTATCTGAAGACATTGAAATATCTCGAGAACTATGCATTGGATAAAAAAAGTGATTAATAAAAGTTGTTAGTCTCGAAGGGGGACATCCAATGATACGAAACTCGACCTCCCACCCCACCCCCTGGGGATGGCAACTTTGAAATCTTAAATGGAAACCCCCATTTTTTATTGCAGATACGGATTCTACGCCACAAAATACGTAAATTTTGTCCGAAATTTTTTTTTGATTCGTGATAGATGGCGTGATAGATAATCGCAAAAAATTATATTTTCCGCAATTCTCCAAAAATGATCATTGGATTGAGAAATAAAAAATACCTGTTCAATATTTTTAAAGAACATAATAAAAGTTATCCCCCCCATCCTCTCGGGGTAGGGTGGGTGATAACGTTCAAATCTCAAATGGGGACCCACATTTTTCATTGCAGAATTAGATTGTACGTGAAATTTTTATTGAAACAATTTTTTTCATTCGTGATAGATAGCGTTGAATTTTTCCGAGAAACTACTTTTAGCGTTACACAGGAGCAACGACGAGGACGTAGTAGTTTTATGTTCCCTTCAGGTGCTTTTTTAATGTGAGTCCCCTTGCCTCTCACAGATCGGGGTGCTTTTTTAATGTGAGTCCCCTTGCTTCTCACTGTTCAATTAATTAGAGTAAGTGTTCGAAATTTTTACCTTCAACTTCAATACACTTATTGATCCTTTTTTCAAATGACTGTACACAGGATAGAAGCATATCTGCGGGAGTTTCAGCGCAAGCGTTTCTTATGCGTTCTATCATGTTTTCACGAGTTGTTGGCACTTGTTGATAAACCTTATCTTTTAGGTTAGGTTGATAAACCTTATCTTTTTAATAACTTTTATTATGTTCTTTAAAAATATTGAACAGGTATTTTTTATTTCTCAATCCAATGATCATTTCTGGAGAATTACGGAAAATATAATTTTTTGCGATTACAGAGCCATCTATCACGAATAAAAAAAAAAGTTTCGGACAGAATTTACGTATTTTGTAGCGTAGAATCCGTATCTGCAATAAAAAATGGTTATTCCCATTTAAGATTGCAAAGTTGCCCCAACCCTCACCCCCAGGGGGTGGGGTGGGAGGTCGAGTTTGGTATCATTGGATGTCCCCCTTCGAGACTAACAACTTTCATTAACCATTTTTTTTTATCCAATGCATAGTTCTCGAGATATTTCAATGTCTTCAGATAAATCGTGCACCCTGTATATATAACGCATTTTCTTCTCATTTCTTTCTAATTTTCTCTTTTCTTTGTTTCTTTTTTTGAAAGTTCAATGAAATTTGAAGCTCTTAAAAGAACCGATCAGAACTCTGTAAAAGGAAAAGTTATAGTTATGTGTCCAATAATGCTATTTAACCATAGAGATTTAAATTTAGATCCGATACAATGACAAGGATAAACAGAAGCAAAAAAGGTCGTTACTAGATTCCAAATAGGACGTGCAATCCAACGAGTATTATTTGACGAAGAAATCGGCATTTGAAAGATTAATGTTAAATGTTATAAGGCCGTAGTATTCATAATTATAAATTATTTACAATATTTGATTGAGTGCATAATAAATTATAAATTCGTATACATGGACCGTTCGGTTGTTTGGGTCAATATTTCTTGTTGTATGAAATAATGTAATAACTACAGATGCAGATTGGTGAATTGGAAATGCATGAAACATTATTACAATTATTTGTTAAATGATAACAAGCTATGAAAATGCCAGTCCAAATTTTGACTCAGGTATTTCTTTACTCTCGATACGTTCGTCAAACGTCAAACGTTTCGAAACGGAAATCTGTATAATAAATAAGTTTGACATATTCGGTAAATATATGAAGTGATGCTGCCTCGTGTACCCTACATCCTTCGTCCTGGCTTCCCAACCTAACATTTTGGCTGCTCCATCGTGACTGATACTAATATTGATATTGATATTAGCACTGACACTGACACCGACACTGATGCTTGCGACACGATTCAAGTACGTGTTAAATAACGTGATACTAACGAGAGCCTAATTAAGCATCTAAAAAGGGAGAAGAAGAAGTAATATATAAATATGTTTATGTCTGACCATCTTGAAGGACCCGGAATGTTTTGGTTGTTGTGATCGCTCGCGAACGAGCGGCGACGGATGGTAATTGATGGACAGAGGGATGACTCTCCTGCCGATTGTTTAGTGTGTACTCTCAGGTGTCATACATGTTTTCGTGACTGAGCTTAGCGGTATATTTCTTGCAAAATATTTCACCCGCTATTTGAAGTACGTTTCATGGGATTTTTATTGGCATCTCGCGTTAATTAACATACTCTAATCGAGTTGTATCAGTCCCGATTGTCACGACAAGGCAGATAAAAGCAAGATGCTGGAAACTAAAACGGAAGACGAGGATGCAGTTTGTTAGGACGTATAATATATTTCTAGATGTATATTGATATATTTCTCTTACACTTTCAACGCCAAAGAAGAAAGTGCAAAGAGATTATGAAGAAACAAAATTTACTTTATTTGTCCACTTAATCATGTCCATTGTCACTTACTCATTGACCTTTTTTATCTTTCTTGGACATTTACCGTTTAGATTATTTAGCATTTGCTTATCTCACTGTATCTGCAGCTGAGTAAATTATATAACCAACATAATGAATATTGAATTTAAGAATAAAGATAAAATGCAGAGATAATAATTAAATATATTTAGTAATTCTGAATACTGATTTTTTTATAACAATTCGATACAGAGAAATTAAATAATGATTTATCGTATTACGCGCACAAATTACGCCAATATAACCTATAATGGAATTTGTATTTGAAATTAAACATGGAAACTACAGTTCAACTTAGAAGCTTTTATCGTGCGATTTTCGATACCGCTTGGAAAGGTGCGTTATTAAAACGGGTTGTACAAAATGATTACTTCGCGGCGCGTATACGTATATTTTTTGTGGTTGAGCGTCCTATTTCGAAAAAAAAGTATCGTGGATGCATTCCTCACTTGCAAACAAATGGCGAGTATGCGTTAGTGGTATAGGTAAGTCGGGACAACTGCAGCACCGTACAACTGCGCGTATTTTATTTTGTTCATCCGCAATACGAAAGAACGTTTAACGCGGACTCGCCGGGTCCGTGTTGCGAAAATTTATTTACGTTAAAAATACGAAATATGCACGGCTGGCGCTACGATTCATTACTATTGCAGTGTCAGACATTTTTTCGCGTCTAATAAAAAGATTAATTCGTGCGATACATCCATGTAAGTTGCGCAAACGCGGCGCGTATACGAAAAGTAGCCGCATCATCGAGGCAATTTGGGAAATTATATTTTTCTGATCGGCAATCGGCTCGCATAAGACCTATTTTTCCTCAGTTCTCTCATTTTTTCTTTTTTTCGGATTTGATATCCGTTGAATACCGTTGAATCCGTTGAACACGACAAACTGAGATAGAGATCACCGATATAATAATAAAGTAAGATTAACGTAATGATAAATCAAATTCAGCGGGGAATGACTCGTTTCAAATATGCCTCGAAAGAGAGAGAGAGAGAGAGAGAGAGAGAGAGATCTTCGCTCATTTCTTCCCGACAATTAGAAATTACGCGGGAGAAGAAAAAACGATTCACCCCGGCTATTTCCGGAGAAAGAGAGAGAGAGAGAGAGAGAGAGAGAGAGAGAGAGAGAGAGAGAGAGAGAGAGAGAGAGAGAAGCAGGAGTTTCCATAACATTTACTTGCAGCACGCAAACTTCGTCGGACTTCCTTAGTTATATTACGTTTCTCATGGTTAGACAGGCACGATCGAGCGCGAAATCGAGATGACATTAAACTATTAGCTACCGATTCATGCGTGAGAGTATACGGCGAGCTTCGAACTCGGTCCAAAATTGTGTCCTTTCACATGCAGAGGACGAGAAGAGGTAAGCTTAATTGACCGCACATCTAAAGCGGAGGAATCCGAAACGCTACGGTTTGTCTTGTAAGAACGAGCGTGAAACTGCAGAAGGAGAGAAGGAAAGAAAATATTCGGCGCACACGTGTGTTCACGTGGTTCCCGACCGAAGAAAGACGCGCTTTTCCGCCCGTCGATAGCATGTCGATTGCTTTTACTCGCGTTGGATATTCTTCGAGATCACTCCGTGTCTTGCGAGTTTTCTTACAATAAATGCCGATGCGTGATATCGAAGATCGAGTTTTACACTCGGCAAACGCGAGAGAGCCGTGACGCGTCTCAGGAAGCAGTTAGAGATATTGTTAGCCAGTCTCTCGCGTAACAAAGGACGGCACAATGCCATCAGAGTCGCGAGTACGAAAGAACCATCGCACGTGGATTCTCGATGATCGACAGTCGACTTCATAGCGCAGGCAAATAAAGCTGCGATGCTAAAAATCACAGCGGCAGATGCTGCGAACAGTATCTCCGTGACGGATCCGTACGTATTGAATATTAGACGATGTCTCCGGTGTGTGGACAACATAAACATACAATAGATATTCATATGGCGGCCAGATGCCGCGGTCGTTTTATCGCGCGCCACGGTAGAAGTGCATGTATCAAAAAGCTATGTACATACCCACACTTGGCGTAATGCACGCGCACGCCACTTATTTGAATATTCATGTAACATAGATATGGAAATCGAGCGTCGTAAAGCAGATAACATTCTCCAGATCTCGTTGCGATCTGACAGTTTGAATTACAACCGCGGCTTCTGAATTTGATAATTTTTATCGCGCCCTACGGTAATACGACGAGGATTCAGCACGGTGCGCTGTGGCATTTACAAGCTACATCGACAAGGAAAAATATCAGCCACGGTGAAAACAAAGTTATGCAATTAGTCGTTAGTCCCTTAGCGAGAGCGAGAGCGAGAAAGAGCGAGAGAGAGAGAGCGAGAGAGAGAGAGAGAGAGAGAGAGAGAGAGAGAGAGAGAGAGAGAGAGAGAGAGAGAGAGAGAGAGAGAGAGAGAGAGAGAGAGAGAGAGAGAGAGAGAGAGAGAGAGCGAGAGAGGACAAGAAGAAGGAAGGCGAGAGCGACGAAAATGAAGGAAACGAAGAACGTACTTGAACACAACATGGGCTTCTGGTATATTGGTTTAATCGCCTTTCCACTTAGCTTTCCCTTCTTTTCCGTAACCCTCGAAACAAAGTCCCTAAAGATGAAGTAGGAAGTTCACTGGACACCCGCTATACTTTCCTTCTCGAACTCGATAACGAACTTTGTTCGCAACCAGTTTTCTTTTCTTTCGGGGTGTTACTGCTACAGGACGATCTATTTATTGAAATTGGAAAATACAACCTAACTTTTCGGTTGCGTGCAGATCGCTCTTGGTATAATGGCGGCACGTTAATCCTTTCTCTCTAGCCTTTCCTCTGACGCGCGAGTATCGCAGAAACTGGCAGCGCAAACCAGTGTGATTTTTCATGTAAGTTATTCATCAAGATACAAAGCAGCTTGAGATTTCCCTTTCGAGAAACTTTGTCTCTCTCGAGAATGCCGAAGGCATTAGAATATGAAAGTTTTATTTGAGCGTAAAAATATATACGGGAGGACGTTTTGTTTAAAAGAAATTACCCAGGAGCATCAAGAGTCACACAGTTTATACGATAGCGATAACAAAGAGAATGATCACTTCGCGGCACAATGTTTCACCTCACATTCTCAGAAGTTTCCGTAAGACACAAATCCATCGCCCCGGTGTATCCCTTTGCCTCTATCTTACAGGAGTTCGTGACTTACGACGGAGTTGCATCACGTTGGCCGCGCCGAGAAGTCGAAGTGCTTCGCAATCGTCCTCCAATTAGCGCTCCGAAGCTTTCCGAGTTAGCAACTTTTCTTCACGGAAGATAGGATTTGCGGGAGAAGGTATTAAATATCGTCGAAAGTGTGAAACATACCGGGCTCATTTCGCGTCTTGTACCTCGAGCTTTGCGAAAAAGCGCGGAAAAATTTCTTTGTCGTCGCCATAATGGAAAACGTGTCTTTTACACAAGGAAACATCAGAAACGCGCGCCGTCCTTAAATCCTTCTTAGGTCATTAATGTCCTTTCCAAGTAACTCCATTTTGTCACTCTTTCGCGCGGTTGAACTTTTCCCGGTCGGTGACCAATATGACACTTACATACACGTTAAAAAAGAAAAAGGAGGAAATTGCACGGCATTAAACGGTGTTCGTGAGTAACACCGGGCTATATTTCACGAACGCGAATTTGGATATTGACGTATCGCGTTTCTTTATCGCGCGAGCAAACGTGCAAATCGCCCTGACACGCGCGTGAAACACGAGAGACAAATGCGGACGAATGACAAATGATGATGAAATATACGCGCGTGGAACGACACGCGAATCTCGCGGAGTTGAAAATTTAAACTTTGCGACGTGCGGAGCTTGTAAATTCGTAGCTTGTAAATCGAACGAGTATAATCGTTATAATGCAGCTATTCGTTTTCGCGTGCTGCCGCACGGAGCACGAGAAATACGGTGACATATTCCTGGTAAGAATCCATTCGGTGGAACATGGGGGGACCTTTTTCACTCGGTATATGGTAGTAATTCCTTATCTGCACCTACTACGTAGGTCGCGTACTCACGATATCTACGCGGGGGAGGCGGGGGAAAGTCGCCGCGGACATTGTGATCGCGATTTATATAGATTCTATCGATTCGATTCCCAGGCGGTTCAAAATTATTCAAGTCGGCGAGTGCTTATAAAGTGCCATTGACAACGGTCTGTGAAGCGGAATATATCGGTTAACCCGCCACATCGGATGCGAACGTACATAATGGCGTATCTGCATTTGCGAACCTGCATGAATCTCGGCGATAATTTCAACGATTCTCGTTTCAGTCTATCGAGCGAGAGAGAGAGAGAGAGAGAGAGAGAGAGAGAGAGAGAGAGAGAGAGAGAGAGAGAGATGCCGCAACATTGTATCTCGCAAACGCGTCTTCCATCTCCGCGCGATATTTCCGTAGGTAAGCGCGCTTTACGCCCTCGGGATAATCTTCAGTGTCTCTTCTCGTTGGTATGTTTTCATCTGCATTCGCTTAAAGTGCGGATTGTGTTAAATTGAAGCCGTCGAAAGCAGACGTACGAGGAAAATTTGGAAATTTCAGTTACGACTCATCCCTATCAAACTATACGGACGGGCGGGTATTTTCGAGTCACAAAAGAACCGCCGTGAATTGCATTTGCGATAAAAATTGCACGCGATCGTTATGCATTCGCATTTGCGACGCATTATCTCCGGGAATATATTCACGTCGGCATAAGCCTCCGCGCTCGAATTTTTGCGTAACATCGTGTTTTCGTGCATCGACACAATTTCGGATTCGGTTCTGTCGACGGGATCGTGGTGTTCCTCTCGCCCGAGGATTACCAGGCGCCAATAAAGTATCGCGCTTTTGCCTTCGTTAGACACTCTTTGCGGACGCGACGCGGCGCGAGGCGAAGGATCAGAAGGAGAACGTGGAAATGGCGCGAGATACTCAAGACTTCAGCCGCGGTGCTGATGTCGCCGAGCTGAGATTTATCGGTTTCCTGAATCATGGCGACGTGGCTGTCGAAGGCAGTCTAATTGATTTTTCCGCCCTCGCTCCTTACTACTTCACCTCATCCCACCACCTCTTCAACCATCCTTCGCGCCACGTTCCGGAGAATTTTATAGCTCGATGTGAAACTTGCCGCTCGGCGCGCCGTGTAACCCTTTTGGGAAAATCACGCCGCTGGAAATTCAGTCGACCGAACAAAGACGCCACACCGTCTCTCTCTCTCTCTCTCTCTCTCTCTCTCTCTCTCTCTCTCTCTCTCTCTCTCTCTCTCTCTCTCTCTCTCTCTGCGAGCTCTTCATGTACAACTTGAGGATATGAAGTGTAAAAGTAAAGAAAATGTAATTGTACATATACACGCGCGCGCGCGCGCGTGCGCCCGTGTGATCACGTGAGCTGATGATCCGGCTGAGTTTCATATAAACGCGAGATGTTTCGATCCGATACGAAGGACAGACGGAGAGTTGAGCGATCGAGTCGTGGATCACGATAATCTGCGCTGTTCATCAACACTTACGCACCGTTCGAGGCATTCGTTTACCGATCCGACATTTTTCAAACACACGCGCGTCGGCACAGGTACTGTGGAAGTGACTCGTTAGTTTCACGTGGCGCAAACGTTATTATTTCACGGCCGGCCGGAGCCTCGCGGGAGGCGCGTTGCGATGCATTACACATGCATCGGAAGCGCCGCACGAGCGAGGCGGAGATGTGCGACAATAATTTGTTTATAACGAGCGTAATACAGATTTAAACTGCGCTGGGTCCTCGCGCGTCCATTATCGCCGCTCGTTATTTCCGGCTCGGTGTCTGTACGCGCGTCGAGATTATTAACGCGATTGTAATTACGCGTACGGTGATCGAGCACATTTAGCCAGGGATAAGTGCGGAGGCTCGTCTTTTAGCCCGAGAGCTAATGTGTCCCCTCGAATCCTCCGGAATCAACGTATATAAGCTAGACAACGTATAACGGCAACAGGCCTGCTAACTCTGGCGAGATAGTGTGTGTGTACGCGAGCTTTTGACGCGCGCCGGTGTAAGCACCGGTCTTGATGGGTAATCGATTTTCATTAATGGACGTCGCTTGCGTAACACAGAATTTCAGCGGGGCACAGTCTCGAGCCCGGACAGCACCCACACAAAGGAAAGAGATGAGAGAAACCTCTATTACGCAGCAGCACGCGTCCTCGATCGAAGTCGGCGATGCGCCGCGTAAAGATAATTAAAAAATAAGCCGATTCCGCAGGTGAAACGTCGGCGAGCGATGTTTACTCGTTCGGTTGTCCAGCCACTTATTCGCCCAGTCTGCCAGATGCACATGGCTACGCGACTCGAATTTTAGCTGCGACTCGAAAAGCGCGCATGCTCTCTTTCCCCGAGTCGACGAAAGTTCGAGGATCTCTCGGCCATTGGCCTTTTCCGACAGTATTTTAATTTATGACGTACGCGGGCAATCGGCGGGATAAAAATGAACCCTTAGGTTTTATTGGAGCATAAAACCATCGTTGTCGCGGCAGAATCGAGGAAAAATCGATCCTCAATCCATCCGAGGGATTTGCAGATGGAAATGGCTGAGAGAGACGGAACGCTGGTCGTTTGTTGCTCTTTAGCTCCGCCATTTGCGTCATCACACACGCATTTGCGTTAATGAGTATACGGCGTGTATGTAGCGAGTATAAGTTTTCGTAAGCCTGCCTATCTCGATATAATGTGCAATACCGATCGTCGCCGATTTGTCGTTATTCATCATATCGTCGCGCAAAGACGACGCGCATCTCGCGTTAATTACGAAGCTTCAAAATTATCATCCTCGCGCGCGGATTATGATCGTAAATAAATGTCTAAAATATACCTCGGGCGGCATGGGAAGCTGGCCGGCTCGCGTTTAAGCGATAAATGTTCCTCCTCCAAATGATAAATATATATCCTTGAGGACGGATGAAACTGATGTTCGACTCTTGTCTTTAGATATACCCGGCCCGTTCTTTAAGTAACTCGTTGCCCTCGTTGCTAATTGCGATAAGAATTATATCAGGGCAGAGAGATTTTACTTATGCTGATGATTACGTAATATTTCGCGCTGTAATTCTTAATTGCTTGCATTCTCGATATTAATTAAAACAAAAATTCTATTTGACGTTTTGCATTAAACAAATAACTGTACAGCATGCATCTGCATGTCTGACGAGACGTAAATCATACCGACGGGAAACAATTATTTACGAGCTTGACGCTCCGCGATTCCGTTTGGATTTAACATTGGAGAATGTTGTTGGCTCGGTTTCGTCGTAAGTTCAAAGTACATCGCGCTTCGTGCGACCTCCGTTCAGCGTAATCCGTTTTGCGCACTTGGAAAATATGGAAAAAATTGAGAATTTCGTGCGCGGCCGAAGTCAATTACCGATGTTGCACCGCTATCGCGACTGGCTATACACGAGAGGCTCCGAAATACACAGTAAATTTTGGCCCAACAAAGTTAGAGTATAACCAATTATTTCATGCGCTTACAAAGTTACATGGGGATTCGATTATACACGACCAGAGATACATACGTTATTTCGGTGAAAATATTTAGAGCCAAACTCTAGACATCATCTAAACGTCCGACACACTGCAGGACTCGAATAGTTAACTGCAATTGAAAATTGCTTACTTTTTTAATATGAAAAACAAAATGTCGTGTCTCTCTTTACTATAGTAAAACTTCTTTGTCTTTGTAAGGATTTCCGTTTAACGCAGCCAGAATGCAAGAGCTTGAGGCACTTCGAAAATATAGGAAAATTGAGACTTTCACGAGTAGCCAAAGTCAATTATCGACGCTGTGGCGGTGTCACGACGACCGCAATTCACTTGAATCTTGCCGCAACGAGGTCGCACGTGAAATTAGTTACTTCGTGCGCTTATGAAGTTACGGGAAAATTCGATTATGCACGCTCGTAGGCGCGTACGTTTTGTCGCGAGAAGAATTTCGAGCCGAAGCGAAAGGCAGAACGTCGCCTAAATATCCGCCAACGCATTACAGAATCCGAGCCGTCAATCGCGGCAGAGACACGAGTATTATGAGCGCGAAGGGCGAAACGTGACATCCCTTTATAACAGTATCCGCACATCCGGGTCAGTCGGCTGGCTATGCGATATCCAAGCTTTTACGAGCCGTCGACGAAAAAAAAGGGACCGTATGCGCATCGACTCTGTAGCGGCCGCAAACGACGACGGATGCTCAGCCACGAAATTCCGACCTCGCTCCGACTCATTAAACGAGTGATATCGTAGCTGAGTTTTATGTTTCTCTGACGGTGACGTTGGCCGTTCGGCTGTTCATGTGCTAGCGCGCTCTCTCTCTCTCTCTCTCTCTCTCTCTCTCTCTTTCTCCGCTTTTCTGTTACAATGAAACATTCGGGTCTTTTGTAACGCGAAAATCGTAAAATTGACATTAACCTACCTACCGAGCGCTCATGTCGCTTTTTTGTTTCACCGGAATTATCGGTTTTATTTTTCGGAATTATACGCGACGCGCCGTGAGCGACAGATCTCAGATACACGCTGCGTTACATGATCTCCGTCTAATCAGCGGCATCGGCGTTAAAGTGAAGTTCGTTAATCGAGTTGGAGCTTAACGCGACTAAGTCGGAGGGATCCCGAGATGAAGATGGCATGATGAATTTCACAAATTAGGTTTTACATTCTTCTCTCCTTGCACGCCACCAATTAACACGTAAAACGATTTTACTGGAGAGAAATAACAATTTTTAATGTAATTATCAAATATATAATATAATCAATCGGAATTCTCTCTCCCCTCCCCCTCTCTTTCTTTCTCTCTCTCTTTCTCTTCTTGGTCAATGCGCTACAAAGGAATAGCGCGAGCAGCTCGCGAAGCGAATCTGAAATTCAGCGCTACGTAATTGTGCGCGAGTTTTTCCATCGCATGCCGCATTGTTCGGTTCCCGTTGCTCGAAAAATCGCTCGCTTGGAAGAGAAACAGTATTTATTCGGCGCTGCCCCAAATGTGGTGTATGAGTAGCAAGAAGAGAATGAGAGAGAGAGAGAGAGAGAGAGAGGAGGGGAGGGGAGGGAGGGAGGGGGGGAGGGGAGAGAGAAATATCTCCGAAGTTTTTTGCCGATGCAAATAAATCTGCAACTTGGCAGGCGACGTTTGATGTGCGGTTTCCAACGTACGAACGCGCGCGCGCGAATCGGCCGCTCATTGGCCGATAATACGCGCAAATCGATTGGCGTGTATGGAAAAGTTTTCGGCCAGACCGCGAGAAGAACGATCCGCCCGGCCGGGATCGGAGTTATCGATTCGAGAGCGATTCGCGTAACAATCGACGGCAGAACGACGCCGCGGGTATGCACAGTGCCGGGCGCGCGGACGATCGGCTGATTATGTGCGGCTGATTATGTGTGCAGGAGTGATGCGCATATATGAATAACTTATAAGCCACGATAGAGCGCTACTAACGTGGCGTACGTTGCACAAACGCGAGCGGGCGCGGGCGCGCCGTCATTTTCCCCGGACGCGAGTCACATTATTCCGAGATGCTTTTCATTGTTACTGGCAAAATGCCGAGCATAAGTAACGGGTCCGGCATCAGTGTGCCGCGTAGGTCGCGTTTCCTCCGGCACTTTTGTTCGTCTCGTTCGCCTTCCCACTACCGTCCCCCTACCTCTCCTTCACCCCCGACTCCTCTTATTATTATTAGGAACGTGAGGAGAGCGGCGTGCTCGCGCACGCCGCCGTTACTGTGTAAGCATTTCGTAGTTTTATGTTTTTCACGGGACGCCGACCACGAAATTCCGTGAGACAAATTGATATATTTTTCGCGTGCGCTTTTCGCCCCTTCGAGATATACGGCTTAATGTACGGCGATATTAGGAAGGCGCCGCCATTTAAAGGATACCCCGCGGCATTAACTGAAATAATTATGCTCGCCAAATTCCTGCCTCGGCCCGCTGGTCACGGCACGTTGCCCCCGCTAATTATCCATGTAACGAACAAATTAAAGTCGTGCCCGCGACACGATTCTAAACGTGCAGAGCGGCGCGGAGGACGAGGCTAGAGCTGAAAAATAACCGGATAGGGTTGTAATTGCCGGTCGAGTCGGACGAGAAAATTAACTTGAGCCGCGATGAATAAGAAAAAGCGACGTTTCCCCAGCGTGCCGACCCAGAAACGAGTTGAGTATTGTTTCTCTCTTGGCCGCCGCCGCCACCACTGCTGGTCG